AATTAATACAACTACCGCTGGATGGCACTGTAACTTTTACTGATATAAATGTGTTCAGTGTTATTATTACATTTATTTTTTTTATATACAAAAAAATAATATAAGTAATGTTTGGAGAGTAAAGATTCAATTATTTTCATAATGGTCTTCATTGATATTCAATTTTATTGTTTTTAAGTGCCTCTGGGTGGGTATATTTTGGAAACAGAACTATTCACGAATAGCTCAAACAATCCATGAAGAATCCAAATTTACAATTTTCTTTTGATTTTTTTTATGATTTGATTAATGTTTCGTCAGTAAAATCTATTCTGTATTATTATTCGTTATTGATTGATATCCGTGCAATATTAATTAATATGCGTCAAACTCAGCCAAAAACTTATTATTTTCTGTGATTGAATCAAGTTAATGTTTTTAGTCGATAGATGGCGCGGTAGGTATCGTAAGTTTATAGTTTCGTTACCGAATAAACATAAACTTATCTTTCTTTCTTATTTTTGGCTGTGACTGATTGATACAGAAAACAAATTTTATTTTGTTGCGCGACTTCTCTAAAGTTAATACTGTAAATAAGTTTAAGTTGTAATTATTTTCCGATTTCTTCCACATTTTAAAATCTTTGAGATCTCATCAATATTTCAGAAGACGGTAAAGACCGACGTCGACGGTTGCTACGAAGAGGAGTGGAACGCTTTGCAGAATCATGTATTGAAGTAATCACACTTTATGGTAGAGGCTCTGAGCTTTGGGCAGGAACGGAGAGAAATAGAATGGAATAGAAGAAGAAATCTATGGTGTGTCAGGAAAACGTACTCGGCACGGCACGCTGTCTGGGTACCAACATGTGACGGAATTTCTAATTCTAATACAGAATGGGAACTGACGGCGTTTGGCGAAAACTTTTATAGACAAAACGCACGCGGCAACAGTTTAAGCGATGTGGAGGGATATAAGCGAGAGAAATGATTCCGTCATTTAGATTGACCAACTAGAAATCCCTATCTCAGCCCCATAGAGCATATTACGGACGTTTTGAAGAGACGAGTGAAGACCTAAATAGTATCGAACTAATTCAGTAGGAAACTTTGAGTGAGATACTTCCTAGAATGTTGAAATGAATGCAAGCTATGTATAATCCATAAAGAACTTCTATCTATTTTTACTTTATAACCACACAAAAAAATGTGTTTAAATTTTACTTGAGAGCGGGTGCATTGCTATTGCTTGTTACTGCTGATAATATTTATCATGAATTTAATCAAAATCGTAATACAAAACTTTAACGGTAAGAACTTAATATGTTCAAAATAATGGTAACAATATTTTTTTTGCTTCGTTGCCCGTTTTAAAGGCATTATATGTGGTATGGCCACGTAAATGTCTTCGCTTGAAAATGAATGGGCAGGTCCGTGAAGTAGAAGTGTAATACTGCTGCGTTTCGTCTGTTAAGTGAGGAAACCAGGTCCCACTTTATCTCAAATTTGTATATTTTTTTTATTTCGTCGCGGCATGATGCCTGTTAAATTGAGTGGCATCAGTAGAATGACAAAAATAACAAATAATGAAATATTTTTATTAATATTTTAAATACTAAGAAACCATATAGCGAGTTTACGTTAAAGTTTTATGTTTAAGTCATCTGTTACGCTTTTTAAGACACAACATTTGACAAAAAGTGTACTTGACTAAAACAATAAGTATTAGTAAGTGTAACATTACAGCTTAAAATTACATAAATGAGTTGTTTAACACATTTTTACTATCTTGTGTTACTACACTCTGGACAAACTTTGTTCAACAACTCATGACATTTATAACCCTCAACTTACAGATATAATAATATCTGAAGACAAATAAGACATTTCACGGCAACAATAAAACAATAAGTATTAACAAGAGTAATTAGCGAGTGCTGTTGTGTACTTTCAGGTGATATAAAAAGCTGTAAATGATGTTAACGATACTTGTTGTAATTAGATTACTAGTCTAGCCCTAAAATCTGTCTCACATATTCCATAAAAGTTCTAGAACCAGTGGTGGAAGCAAATTTATTTTTTAACTCCTCTTTATCATTTTTAGTTAGAACTGAGATAACTATTACTCAGTTGAACAGATTAAATATAAATGACCAGTTAAAAAAACAGGTAATTTACCCGCGTTATTATATTCGCTCAGATTTTAGTATAAGATAAATCTTATATTAAAATCTGCCTCTGACATCAACATGTTAATTAAATAAAAAATCACACAAAAAGCAGTATACAAGCAATATATACACGTCAATAAATTATATTATAGGAATATATAATATGATCTTTGATGAAAGAGGCTATAATTGTGACGGCTGCAATTAAAGTGAAGAAAGGTGACTGGAAAATTCTATAGAAGGGGAAAGAAGGTATTCAGAAAGACATAAAGGACTGGCAACAAATTGTTGATAATAGAGGAGACGAAGCCGCGATATTATAACCGAGAACTATATTAAAAAAAAAAAAAAAAAAAAACTGGTCAAGTGCAAATTGGACTCGGGCACGAAGGGTTCCACACCATTATCTATAAAAACGGCAAAAAAATCATGTCTGTTGTATGCGAGCCCCACTTAAATAATTTTTTATTCGGTTCTTTAGTATTTATTGTTACAACATATATACATCTGTGAAAATTTCAACTGTCTAACTACGCAGCCAGTTGGGAAATAGACAGGCAGACAGATAGACTACGGAGTCTTAGTAATAGAGTCCCGTTTTAACTTTTGGGTACGGAACCCTAAAAAGGATATCAGCAGATATCTGTGACGGAAGCAAAAGCTAACGTAAGTCTTTGCAGCTTCCAAATATGGCATGGTGGTATAGATAAAAAAGGTCAAGTTCGTAGCAGTCTGTGGGGAGGTTTCTGTCCAGAAATGGACTAAAACAGGCTGAAATGATGGTGATGGAACAAAAAAATTTTTGTTTAGATTACATTTGTTTGAAAAAGTCGCCTTTTCAGTTTATTAAAATTTATTTGTTTTTTATTTTTTTTTAGAATCTTTCCCGTTTTTAAATTTGTATTGATGAAGACCGGCGTGAAGTGTAAGAGTTATACTTCTGTGTTTCGTCTGATGAGTGAGGTAATCGAGGCTCACTTTCGTGACATTGAAATTATATAAAAATATAAAAGGAAATAATATAAAAATCATCAACCTAGTGATACCAAATAGGCCAATTTGCATATAGGTTCTATGTGATTATTGATCTTAAATTCCCATATATACTAACGTTTTTGTTTGTATACGAATTCTAGGTACACATAGTTTATTAAAGTATACAGCAACTAAATTTAATAGTCACGAACCTATAATTTTTTCGAGATATCGTGAATTTAAAACATAATGGATAACGTAGTTTTTCATTAGTAAAGATATTTTTAGAATCTGTTTAGAAATGCGCTTCAGACTTTATTATATACAAGTAAAGAAATAAACTTTACTTGTATTATAAGTACGAATCGGCTCGATCTGCAAATTTCCTTATCCCCACGTACGTACATATTTAGCCTTCTGCGTATGTCGCCACTTCGCAATACGTTTTCATCCGTCAACGAATAGCTTACTCGATATTCATCTGATCTCGTTCGCGTAGTTACCCTTAGGCTTCGTCACACTATCAACATGCTTGTGATATATTGCGACTTGTCATACGCATTGGTTGCTTAATTGATTATGGTTTTCTCACTTTTTGCGTAAGAACTATGGAATATTTACTGTTCCAATTTAATAAGTTAGCCCGGCATTGATTTTTCAAATAAAAGTTTAACACTTTTACGTGTCGCAGTTTAGTTTACTTTTATTAGTGTTTTGTTTATTTTACTTTTGAAATATAATAAATCCAATTTTTTCGAGCATAAACAAATAAGCTAAATGTCCACCTGAAGTTAAGTAATAAAGAACATTTATTTAATAGCTTTTACATATGTTGTAACATTAAAAATAATATAATGTACCTATACTATATATATACAGCGTGTCGTTTCCATCGCGACAATAAATGGAAACACATATAGGGGATAACTTTTTAAAGTTATATTACGTCTAAATTCTTTAAACATCAATATTTACAGGGTTATTAAATTTTCCAAATATTTAGAACACCCTTACCTATAAAAGCGTGAAGTAAAGTTCATTTGTAAAGGTAAACATATCGAATTTTGCATGCTAACATATAAGGAGAGGCTTGTAAAACGCTGTGCGCGAGTTGTCTAGGAGTTAGAAATTTTGTTTCTTTTTTAAACTTAATTAGTTTGTTTGAAAAATATTTTTTTTTAATTATGGATTTTGTTTTACGTTAATATTTTTTTATGATTATTGGCTCGTAGCGTTAGACGTGTGTTCATTTATTGTCGCGATGGTAACGACACGCTGTATATATATATAATTGTGAAGTGAACTAGAAGGTAAACATATCGTTTTGCATGCTAACAACAATCTGCCAAAACCTGCAGATCTAGTAATAAGTATTAAAGTTAAAGTCAATGTTATATTGTCTACGTTAATTATTAATGTTGTGTTATTAACTAATACGTAACCGACCATTTTGATAGACGAATATAAATTATACTAACTCAGCCCTAGTAAGCCAATAAAGGTCAGGCAACTGGAAGGCGTCTGGCTTGCGATGAAGCCCAGTAAAGTCCAGTGAAACAACCACCATTCGTCAATCAGTTCTAAGAATTCGTACTTGAAAAAGGTTTCCACACGATTTCCCTGCACCATCGAGAAACTGATAAAGAGAACACTCAAAATTGTAATTAACAATTTCATGGTTGCCAGCACCGTGTATTGAACTCACGTAGCTGGAGTTTATTGAATTAATGAGCGTTCGGATACTCAGCTACATAATTATGTACTCAGATAAAAGTTAGAAAAATAACACAAATATGATAACATACTAGTACGGCGTGAAAGAATCCAAAAAAAACCCCTAAGTTCGTTGGACCGACAATTCGCAGTGTGATCGCTGATGTGTCGCGGCCCTAACCTGCCCCTTGCCACAGTAAGGTTGGGCGGGCCTCAGTCACTCGGAGACCATCGCGCGGGGTGGATGTGCCCCTCATCCAGTCAGCACGCGTTCCCGCCATTCGTAACCCAACCGAAGCAGCAGCCTCGCTCGATTACAACGAACAATGGGCAGCGTGTCTTGAAAAGGTAACTCTTTCCGTAGCGCTTGATGTCTGTTCGCTATCATAAGAAGTCTCCTATGTAGTAATAAATAGAAGGTGCCTTCCGCGTGTATTATTCAGTAGCCGTTACTGCGGTTATAAAAGTTGCCGCTGTTTACGCGAGAACCGCTCGCAGATTCGCCTTTTTATCTGTTTACTTTAAAACAATAAAATCGTTATACACTCAAGTCATGTTGGAATCTCAGATGCGTAAAGCTTTCATGAACTCGCATTGAAAACGCCTGCTGTTTTGATTAATGTTTATCTACGTATAAACTTCCACTCCATCTGCTTTTATTCACTTACTTAAAGTAAAGGGGACACTTCGTTGTTTAAACTTACCATAAGTGACTATATCATGCTAGATTATTTCAAAATTGGCCGAATTTTATGTTTTTTATATTAACGCTCTATAGAAAATCTCGTTCATAAAGGAAAGAAGCTTCTGTAGATTGGAAATGGCAATTTTTCTTACAATTGGGGCTAATTAAATGAAACATAAATTAAAGTTAGGGATGACAGTGCCCAGTTTCCAGATCGCGCTGTCCTTGGTTCGACCAAGGTCACGTCGTATTCATAATTAAGGCTTCTTGATGCCATCACTGACGCGTGGGACTCATTTTATTAGTTCTATTCAATTGTGTCGCTAAATACACTTACGTATCTATACTTAATAGCCGCGGAAGTCGCAAAAGAAAAGCGTCTACAAATAAAACTTTCCGCTGTTTTCCTCAGTAACGTCAAAATAAAAGGCATTTAATCATATCGTCCAATAAATTGCATTTGCTTTCGATATTTTTCAATAATTTTTACGTTGAAATCCTGTAAACATTGTTTTTTCTTAAGATAGTCCAGGGATCGGTTCACACATTTATTTTGAGAGAAAATGGATAATGTTTTATTATCCATTTTCTCTCAAAATAAATGACTTAATTGACTTAATAGTCAACATGCACTTACGATATATTTAATCCTCCATTTACTTAATTGCGATTCCCACTATTTGATGTTTAAATCATCTTCCAGTTCAATTGTGTTGAAACACGCTGAAGCGTCTATTAACTAAAAAAATCTAATGAGTGAATTGAACTAAGAAAACCTTATGGTATGATGAGAATAAATTAGTACTCACTAATGACTAACACGTTAATAAACCATATGACTTAAGAAAACTTAAAACAGACCATTGCTTTGCAGCACATCCAATTAAATGCAACAATTTATCAATGCCGAATTAAACCAACCGGAAAAGTTATACGCTATAGCTATACGTCTGACCAATGCTTACACGTAATAATCATAAGAACTAACAGTTTTTACCATGAATGCTTAAAAATGTTTGTCATTAAATGTATTTTAAAACAAAAATGGTATACAATCTGTTAATATAAACTTTAAACTTATTAACGAGAACAAAAACAACCAAGGCCGAAATGAAATAGTCGATCCCGATAATGCAAATTGGAAATAAAAACTTTTCATTAAAATAACACCGTGCTCCCAACGGATTTACCAGCTCTGACTGTCACACGGAACGTAACGATTTAATTCCGACGGTGGGCTTTGACAAAAACGAGCATCAGATACTCCTTTATTACTTTTATTACACAACATTCGGTTTAACCAAACCCTTTGTGCACCTCACGTATAGTAAGGGGGAAGAGCCCTGCACTCTGTTACAATAGAACTGCGCTCCGGAATAGGTGACAATGGGGCACACGCAAGGGGCCGCTCTGGCACCCTCGAAATAAAGTATTGATGACATTCGGATTTATTGGCTATCTCTTCTAACGTACATATACTGGAATTTCACACCATATTCAGATTTAGAGTAAAAAAGCTACAATCAGTTTATATATTCATGGAAAAATTAAGTTATTTATGTAATTTCTGAAGCACTTCATGTTTTTTTTTGTTATTTTGAACTGTTATTATAATGTATTTATCTGTTAATATAGCTGAATCCCGAATGTTCATTTTTATAAAATAGATAAATAATTAATTTTTATAAAATAGATGCATACAAACTTCAATATTAAATACTTGTTTATATTATAAGTTGATTACCCTGCGAAAACTAGATATTACTACTAGAAACTAGGTATTAGAACTACGTAACTATTTCAGCTTTTAAAGGGCAGTTGTTTTCATCAACGTTTGCTAATTTCATCGTCAAATACGTAGAAGTATTGGAATTAATTTATTTTATATACTGAAGCAACAGTTATGCAAACGTTGAAACACGTGCAATAAATTTCAGCACAATCTAACACACAAGTGTTTTTTGGCAGTCAAATTACAAGTAAATGAATTCTTAGTTTACCACATTTATGAATAATAATAACTGTGATAGCACCACGGAATCGTCTCCGATGTTGCATGGTCAGGTCCGTACGGGGAAGTACCCTGACCTCACAGAAGACTGGCGTGAAGTGGAAGTGTAATACTTTCTCGTCTAGTGAGTGGGGTAATCGGGAGCCCACATTATTCAAAGGTGGCATCACATCTGTGTATATATATGTACTTAACATCAGATGAACTAAATAACTCATATTTAGATAGTCCCTATATTTCATTAAATAGATGAAATGTTACATCGTATTATTAATTTACATTTTGCTTATTTGTGGCTTATTCTGGTTAGCAAACAAATAATTACGTTGTCGTACTTCAACGTTTTTGAATTAAGGCCATCCTTGTAGTCAAAATGTAATGGCATTATGATATGTTTTGTTACATGATGTTAGTAATAAAAAGGATATAAAATTTATTGTCTTTTTTGTCGTCGTTGTGAATTTCTTATATTAAAGTTTAATTTAACTTTTAGTTCGTAACTTAAATTCATTCCATTCCAAGTGCTGTACTAAAAAATTATATTTTCATTCCTTTTAAGATAATGAGGAATTTTTATATAATGGTTTAGGAACCAAACACTTTTAACCATTTTACGGATCAATTGAGTTTTGAAGTCTCCGTCGCAGTGAAAAAAAAAAAGACCAATTACTTCACTATCGCTATAACGTTAGACTTTTTAAATGAACCACTGTTTACATGTATTTATTTATTTATTATAAATAATTAAATATTAAATTGTTTATCGCAATTACATTAAACAAGCATTGCAAGGGCGAACTTAAGCCTTTTGTCATACCCTTGCCATCAACTTCGTATTAATTTAACCGAAAGTTATCCTATTCCGAACCTTTACGTGTTCAAATCGTCCACATCTAAATCGGTGCAACTCACAGCGGGGACAGATCGGTTCAAAGGTACGAGAAGGTCGGCAGCTGAGGCATGAGGCTAGAAGGTGCGCGGATCGAAATTTGCGATTCAATGAGCGTCTGTCCTGACCGCCTGATGGTTGACAATTGGGAACGTAATTGGACGTTCCCTCGAATTATCGCTCAAGTCGTAACGTGCGTATTGGTAATCTACATACAGATGCCCGCCAGTATGAACAGGTTGACACTCAGGTGTCATACACACACATATACAAACATGTATAGCGAAATAATAAAAATCAGATTCGCTATTGTTTATGTATTCGCCTTTGAGGCAATTGTGAATAGGCTTTAAACGGGATACCAAATAAGACCAATTGCTTTATGTAGTAGTCAAGCATTATACATTTCATATAAACTTATAACATTCGATAAAAATATAACGTGTATAGTAATGTTTTTCCAGTTGCTTAAGATTGACCTTAAAATATGTAGAAAAAATTGTTTTACAACTAATTATCGTTGTAAAACGATATTCGAAATTGTTTGTATGCTGGAAAGGATATAACAATGCGCCAAACACTGCTTCAAATGCTAAAAACCAATGTAGATAAAAGACGTTAAGATTTTCGTCGGGGTGGCAATCAGCTGTTTAGCTTAGTGGTTAAAACGTCAGGCCGCGAATGCCGAAGACGTGGGTTCGATTCCCACAGCGGCGACAATCTTTTCGTACTTTTTCTACATATTTTTAATGTTCAATCTTAAGTGCAAAGATTAGCACTATAAACAATTTAAATTTCTAAGATTAACCTTTCATAATGACTTGATCTCTTCGACTAAGAAACATCAATCAGCTTCACGCAAAGCACGACCCTCAAAATTCAGTGCATCGATCATGATTATTGCCGATATTGATAGATGCAAACTTAATGTTAGAATATCATTCAGTAGAGTATAACGAGAAGACTTGTATCCAAAACAGCAAATACATATAAAGGCAAGTACGTTCCATACAAGCTATCCTGGTGGCAATAAATACCATATAAGCCCTCTAGTACTAGTTAGGTATTTGTCACCAACACTGCCAGGTCCTATGTTTGTTTTATTTTACATTAATTTGTTGCTTATTCAATATTTTAGTAAAATTTCATTGTTTAAACTCCAGTACCTACTGGTATTTATATGCTACAGGTATTTGCATTAAAGACCTATTAGCAAGTTACCGTTCTCTGCGATAATGTAAAAGTTATTGAAGATGATAGTAAATACGTTTTCAAACACTGTAATTGCAGCAGGGATCCACAACTAAGAATGTTTTAAAAAATATTTTTAAAAAATATTAATTGTTATATTATATTATTATTATATATTATTTCTATTATTTATTATTATTAATTGTATGGGGTTCGTAGCAGACAAAATTCTTAAAAGTTTTCCGTCAAACAACCTTCAAGGAGTTATTAAGCTAAGATAAATTTTATGTAAAGTATTAGCTTCTGTTCGTGACTTCGCAATCGAAAGTTCATTTCAAGGCTATTAAGATAAGGGAGATAGTCTAAGTATTTTATTTCAGATGTCAGATACACTAATAGACCAGTACTTCACCAATTTGGCTACTTCTTTTTTTTTATGCGAAACGTTGCCAAACGAGCAGACGGGTCACCTAATGTTAAGTGAATACCGCCGCCCATGGACATCTGCTACACCCGAGGGTTACAGATGCGTTGACAACCTTTTGAAAATTGGGCTAAGGCTACCTCCCTCA